GCCTTCCAAACCAACAGTGTTCCTGCTGTGTTGGCGGCAGAATGCCTTGTCAAAAGGAGTCTTGCACAGAATCGGAGTTTAGCAACTAGAATAGAGTCGAGCTCCTCTGAGGTCAGAGCTGCTGTTCTGTAAGGTGGAGTCGGATGAGGGGCATTTTCTAGGCAGCTGGCCCAAATTGGAAGGGGAAAGGTGCTCCCCCAGTGAGGGGGCTAAGGGCCTGGCCTGATGGGAGCCTCGCAAGGAGGGGTTGTGCGTGCGGTTGTTGGTAGGCAAGGGAGGCACCCAGGGAGTCGGTGTCCTCGTCACATGCAATTGTCAGTGGGGTAGGTCAGGCCGATAATAATTGGATAGCTGGCAAGCTGAGGTTGCCAGCAGGGGCGGGCACTCACCCAGCCTCAAAGGTCATAGGAGGCAGGGCAGAGGGCCGATCACCGTGGAGACAGGAAGATACCTGCAGGCACTCTGGCCGTCTGTGGTGTCAGCCTCGGGGCAGCGCTGTGGAGAGGCGAGCTCAAGCCCTCAGATGAGTTGTGTGGCTCCTGTGTCCTGGCATCTACACTTGCTCTTGGTTGGGGCAGCCCCTCCCTCATCTCCTCCCTCATCCTCATCTCACCTCATCTCCGCGTCACCTCCCTGCCCGCCCCCAGCGTCAGAATCTGCCCTGCTCAGCCCCCGCTCTGCTCTCTGCAGGACGACATGCACAGGGTCATTGACCGGCAGCTGATGGACACGCACCTGAAGGAACGGAGCCGGCCTGCTGTCGCCCTCTCCAGGGCCCGTGGCGCGGGGCGTGGGGTCGAGCCCAGCACCGCCGAAGGCAAACGGCTGTTCTCATTCTTCAGGAAAATTTAAGTTGGGAGGAGTCAGGCCAGCGAGGACGGGCAGACTGGAGGCGAGAAAGGGTGCAGGGGAGGCCGAGAGCACTGTGCTCATGTGCAAGGGCTCCCCTGCTGGGCTCCGGGGCGCTGCCCGCCGCACTGGGCCATGTCCTCCAGGAGGGCCTGCCTGGCCTCTGAAGGCCGCCCTGGGTAGAGGGACAGGCAGGAGCCTGTCCCTATGGCCCGGCCCAGCCCAGCCCGGGCTTCCCTAGGATCCGCTGCTGTTGAGCAGGGCTCAGGCTGCCCAGAGTGGCCCACCCCTCAGTGGCTCCCGTGCCCGACCCCAGGCTGCTGCCCTCCCTGTGGGATTTGGGGAGCAGGAGAAGCAGGCCCTCCCTGCATCCTCAGGAGGCTGCCCCCGCTGCCTGCCCTGGGGCCGAGCCTGCAGGGCACCACGCCCAGGCCTGAGCCTCCCTCCTCCCCAGCCCTGGCCCAGGGAGTAAGGGAGGCGGCCCGCACCCTTGTGCATGCACCTGTCAGGAGCACCTCGAGGCAGGAGACCCCGCCTGTGGGGCCTGATGGCTGGGGCTGTTCTCGTGCGCTCGGCCACAGTGGGCTCTGCAAAGGCTGGGCCGAGGCCATCCGAGCCCAAAGGAAGAGGGCCTGCCCCCAGCGCCACTGCTCTCCCTCCGGCCTGTGCCGGTGCAGGCCTCCCTCAGCCAGTCTGCTCACGGGTCCTCTGTGGGCTTGAGCCATCCAGCCCTTTCCCTTCGTGGGCCAGGGCTGGGAGGGGTCCCCGCCTCCGGCCTCCTGCTCCCCTCACCTATACAAGTTCTTGGTTCAGCCAAGCAAGTCCAGGACACAGAATGGCCCCAGAAGGCTCTGCAGCCACCTCCACCTCGAGGGCAGCACTGTCACCACGGGCGATGCCTCCAGATACTGCCCACCAGGCCTGCGGGAGGACGAGTCCTGCAACTGCTGCTCCCTCGGCAGCCACGCCCCTTCTCTGAGGCGGCCCTCGCTCAGAGGCACCGGCTGAGCCAGCGCGAGCTGCCTCCCCTGGGAGCAGCCCAGGAGGGATGAGCGGAAAGAATGTACCTATAGATATGTACATACCACAGTGCTGTACTTTTGTATGTAGCAATCATGTAAATACATGTATGGATTTTATAATATACATATTATATATAAATCTATAAATGCATATTTTTAGAAAAACAGCACACCACTGCTTCTTTTGAAAATAGTCTCAGAATAAATTGAATTTCTACAGAGCTTCCTGCCTCTGTCATTGGTGCCGGAAAGGGGTGTTAGAACGCAACTTACCTTTCAGGACCGCCACTGGCTGGCATGCAGAGGCAGAAACAGGGAGCCCCCTCATACACAGGGACCCAGCCAGTGCATTCAGCCAGAAGGGGCACCTCCCCGGGAGGGTGGAGGCACTGTCGGTGACAGCTGTTGTGGGAGCAGTGGCCGGAGGCGCTGCCTCCACGCCCACCCCGGCTGGGCTCCCTGCCAGTGAAGGCTGCCGTTGCCCAGCCACGGGCAGGCCCTCCAGCTTGGCAGAAACTTCAAGCCCGAACGAAGTCACGCAGGCGAAGCTTCCACTGCACCCTTCCGGACGTGAGAGAAACAGGGCGCTTCCCCTGGCATCTTCGCACTGTGCTCAGACAATGCATCAAACCAGAGAGCCTCCACGTGGACCAGCCTTCCGTGGAGAAAGTGAACTGGGCTTCTCAGTCCCTGGGCCTCAGGCAAGAACCCACCAGAGCTGGACACAATGGTGGAAGAAGCCAGGCCCACCCAGAGCACAGCTGGAGGAGAGGAAACAGGCCCTGAAGAAAATTTGGCAGCTTGAACCTTTATTTTTAGTACTTTTTTAAAAAAGCATAATTAGAAACTTTCAATACAGAAATAATCCTAGCAAACCATTTAAAAGTTTTGTTGTTCGACAGGATTTCGCATCAGGTCCACCAGGACAGCGGCCCAGCCCTGTGAGCACCCCACCCCCACCCCCCATTCATGCGAACAACACTCAGCGGGACAGGCACAGTCATCACCAAAATCACCCGCCACCTGGGCCTGGACACCCAGCTGCCAGAGCCATGGGGGCTTTTAGCCGGGGCTGGAAACTTCCAGGACCCCCCTCCTCTTATTGCTGGAGTTTGCAAGCACTGCCATACAGCACCACCTTCATGCTCAGAGTGGAGTGTGCTGCCCACCCAGGACCCATGATCAGCCACCCTCCACAGCACCGCCTCCCAGGCCCACACAACTCCCCCAACTCATCCTGCAGCTCCAGAGTGAAGGCCTGTCACGTGGAACCACAGTGTTTTGGCAGTTTGGGGAAGTGGGGAACCCCACGTTTTGATTAAAAACCCCTCAACAGTGTTAACGAGGAAAATCTGCAGTGTGATCTGTGATGTGATTGTCCAGTCGGCTTCAGCTGGAAATCTCCAGGGAAGGAAATCTAGTAAAACACACCACGGTGTTGAAATAAATTATTCCCAGGTTACGTGATCCTTTTAGGGGAAAGGTGAATGAAGTGTCCCAAGGAGGAGGAGAGGGGACAGTGATCAAGTGTAGAGAACCCTGGTTTTTCCTCCGAGGGACCAGGGGAGTCAAAGCTGGCTGGCTCCGGCCGCAGCTGCCATTCCTTCCCACCGGCTAAGGAATCCTTGTGCTACCTTTGCATCAAGGCAGCTGTCAGTGACCTGAGGCTGCCTGCCACCCAGCTCCGAGGCAAGAGGCAGCATCCCCAGTCCAGCAGCACCCACTCCCCACACCGAAGACCCAGGAACTCGGTGGGAGGCCCTGGACCCACACAGACGAGGGTGAGAGGCCCCTCTTCCCACCAAGCAGCGTCCAGGAAGGCAGAGAGGCTCCGCCAAGAGCCTGGCCCTACAGTGACAGGGAGCCATTCACTTTTTCTACAAACACTGGACCCAAAGGGGAGGCCACAACTCTTGCTGCTGTGCCAACCGAACCTCGGGAAGAGAAAAGAAGTGTGAGGAACTTAATTCATTTGATTTGGCTTCATTTTCTTAGCTGTTAAAATAATGCTCCTAAGCCCCGTCCCTGCGTGAACACACCCTGTCTTTCTGCTGGAACTGAAACAGGTTGGTATAAATAGAAGCGCAGCTCCCCTGGGTTTGTAGCTTAGAGGCGTCTAGAAGGCAGGACGAGAAATCTGTTGGCCAAAGGGCAAGAGTGACTCCTGTGGAACCGACGGGCTGGGTCAGCTGAGGGCAGGGCCTCTAATGGGAACCCCAGGCCTACATCAAGGCCAGGCCCCCCAACTGCCAGAAGGGTAGGAGATGGGGAGGGCCGGAGCTGGGCAAGGCCCTACCTGCCAGGTACAGAAGTCAGCGATGGCCTGCAGGAGAGGAGGAACGTGGAGCCCACTCCAGCAGCCCAGGTTGGCAAAAGACATGGCTAGAACTCGATCCCATCTCCTCAGGACGCTGCTGGCGGTAAGATGGGAGGGGGAGGGAGGGTCTGTTGCAGCAGGCTGGCATTAGGGAGGCAAAGCCAGAACAGGACGAGGGTGAAACGGCCGGTTAAAGCAATATACATTATGTACAAACGGGTTAATCAGTCCGCTCGCTGGCAGCATCCTCGCTGGGCCCAGGCGCCTTGGCCAGGGGGCAGGGGCACCAAAAGGGAAGGGCAGGTTGTCCAACACCTTCTTGGTACTCGAGGGGGAGGGGAGGAAGTGCCGATGGCGCCTCCAGATACAAAAACGTGGAGAGAATTCTTAAATAACGGCACGAAACTGAGACTGTCCCCCGAGGAGCCCGGCGGGCCTCGGGCCAGGGAGTGGCCGCAGTGCAGTCTCTGCAGGGGCTGCGCGGCATTAGCAGCAGCGTTTCTTTCGTTTACTGTTCCTCGTGAGCTTCACCACGTCGTTCTGTTGCTGCTGCTGCTGTTTTGCTAGGTTGTCTTTCTTTGCTCGGAGGACCAGCTCTGTGATGCAGTTGAACATCTGTGAGGATGAAGGAGGCGGGGCGGCCTCAGACCTGGTGCGGAGGCCCGTCTCGGCCGCTGCCGCGGCAAGGCCACCTCCCCACCTCCCGGGGCCCAGCTTTCTGTGTCTACGTGTGAATTTTTTGGTCTGTGTGTCTTCGCACCCTTTTAGAAGGAGGTGGTGACGTGTAGAGGTCAAAGAGGAACACCAAAGACCAATGAGCTTGTGTCCTGGAGAAGTCACTCTCAGGATTTTCCAATCTTTCTTTTAAAGAGGGAAAGAACCCCTTTCCTTCAGCTGGACTCTCTGGACAAGACAGGTAAAGGTGCCCCTACTAGTGACTGGTTAGAGGGCCCAGAGCCTGCCCAGGCCAGGCCACCTCACAGCACAGCCAGCCTAGAACTTAGACCCCAAGACACCCTTGTGCTGCCAGGATTCACCTACCGGCCCACAGTCCTGTCCTCCGCTCCACCAGGAACGGTATCAAGCACTTGACAATTTGCTTCACTTTTCCCTCACAACCCAAGGGACAGATCCACAGAGGAACACAGGGAGCCTAGAGCCCGTAGGGTCCGCCCAAGGTCACACAGGCCCCGCCCCACAGGCTCCCAGTGGAAAGGCCCGTCCTGTGATCCCAGCCCAACTGAGGCGCAGGGCGTCCAGGAGGCGGTGGGGATCCAGCGTCCCTGGGCCTCTGGACTCCACACACCATGGGCAGGACTCGCCCGGAGCCTTGAGTGTGGCCAGCCTGGGCTCGAGGCGAAAGGCCCGGCTTTCTCCCAGGCTCCCGCCTGCTTTTCGGCTGGCCCCGCAGGGGGATGTGTCCACAGCAGGTGTCACCGGAGCTCTGGAGGCCAAGGCCGCAGAGAAGCCCGGAAGTAGGAAGAGGGGACAAAGTGGCCGGGGCAGGGTCAGTGCAGCAGAGGACTGAGTGGACACTGCCTGACTGTGGTGTGGAGCTGGGCACTGTTCCTGAAGTTGGAGCCTCAGTTTCCCATTTGAAACGGAATAATTTACCTGAGAAGACTGTTCAGATGTGAGCTCAGACTTTAAAGGCCTGGCAGCTACTATGACATGTTGTGTCAGCCTCCTGGGGGCCCGCAGCAGGCTAGCAGGGGGAGGAGCAGGGCTGTGGTGGTGGAGCAGAGCCCGGCCCTACTCCCTCCCTGTCCCTGCTCGGGCCTTGGTCTCACCTCTTCCACGTTGACATTCTCCTTGGCACTGGTCTCAAACAACTGGATCCCCATCTGCCCGGCGAATTTGTAGGCATCTTCTGTTTCCACCACCTTCCGCTCAGGATCATCATTCTTATTCCCCACTTGAAGGCAAAGCAAAGTCAGCTGGTCCTGCAGGTGCACCCCGGGCACCCTCCCTCCCACTGTCCCCACACCAGTGAGCCCAATCTCACCTAATATTCGGCACACGTCGTCACAGTTCTGGTTAATTTCATGAAGCCACCGTTTGACGTTGACGAAGGACTCGGCACTGGTGACATCATAAACCACGATGACCCCGTGGGTCCCCCGATAATACCTGTAGGGCCATGGTCTGTGTCAAAGCTTCAGCCCACACAAGACCTGCCTGCCCACTTCGAGAGTGGCCGGGACCTGGGAGGAGGCCAACCCTTTCCAGCAAGACACCCAGAGGCCCCTCTCGCCTGGCCCTGCCGGCCGAGTTCGCACTGTGCTCAGCCAGCAGCACTGAACCCCACGCGGTCCCTAAGGCAGCCAACCAGGTTGTTCGGCATTGGCCACTAGCTTGAAACGTCTTTGAGGTTGTCATTTTATTTTTAAAATTCAGGCAAGTTTTGCATTTGACATCATATTATCCTTGGTGTGTGTGTTTTTGTTAATCCTTACCAAGGATATTTTTCCATTGATTTTTAGAGAGAGTGGAAGAGAGAGAGAGACATCAATTGGTTGCCTCCCACATGCACCCTGACCAGGGCTGAGGGATCAAACCTGCAACCCAGGTACATGCCCTTGACTGGGCATCGATGCCACACCCTTTGGTGTGCAGGCCAACGCTCCATCCACCAGCCAGGGCTCGCTGTCCTTGTTTTAACATTCGAAAATGTTTCTCCTCAAATTTTAGTAAAATGCCATTCCAAGAAGATGTGCCATTTGTGAAATCTGCCACGGTCTGCACTCCCTCCCCAGGAGACTGGGGGGCACCTCACATCCTGCCACTCATCCATGCCAGGGGCAGGGAGAGCATGGAAGCAGTACGGCACGCAGGCAGTGTTGGGAAGAGGATGTCCCACATATGCCACCATCCAAACGTACAGACCCTGCAGCCTGAGGTCAGC